CGAGTGAGCACAGGAGATCTAGTCGACAAATGGGATGAGCGAGCGCAAGGCGAAGGTAAAGGTGGGCAGAAAAACCATCCGTAACGCAGACATGGATGTAATTAGTTTAGTCACTCGGTGAATTCGAAAATGAATTGAACACATTCGGTTCTCATTCTAGCCGCACGGTGGATTAGAAAATAAGGTAAACGCATTCGCGTTCGCAGGCTAACCACTCTCTGAATTAGGAAAAAAAGTGATCTCGATCGGCCCTTAGCCTAGCCACTCGCTGGATGCCATTATGAATTTAGAAGTGCGGATTTCCCAAAGCATATACATATGTATATAAAAATTTCCATGCGACATTTTATTATGCATTTAACGTGTGTACCCTCAAAATCAGAGTTTTCCATTGTCATTTTTGTCCTCTGTTCTACAGAAAAACGATTTTAGTCAGTAAAGACAGCGGATTCTCACAAATTACAATAATAAAAACTACAATATTACTTGCGATAAATGCTCAGATGGGTGTCTCTGTCTCACTTAACTCCGTTTGCGGTCGTCCGTTAGACTCGCAAATGTACTACTGTCCTTAAAACTATGCACGCCTGAATGAGCAGATTTACTGCTGATTACACCCCAGTCGACTTCATTGCCGCACTTGAGGCCATGATAGCACGAAATAAAGTAACCAATGAGGCTAAACACACGGTGTACCAAAAGGTCACATCTCTACTGATGACGAACAGGCACGCTAGCAATATGTCGCCCGCAAAAATAGAAGCAATGACCAATGGACAAGGATGTTATAATGCTACCGGCTGACAAAGGAAGAGCAACCGTTGTGATGAACCGCGTTAATTACGACGAGAAAGCACAAGCCTCCTGGGAGACTAACAGTCCCACAAGCTCACACACTCCTCGTAGGCTATATCGATGATTGGCCAGCTGATCGGACTCTTAAGCCGACCACGGCGCAACAATGTAACCTTGCTTGATGAATGGCGCCAGATAAAGCCAACCGACACGGCATTGGCCAGATTCTATAGACTACCAAAAATCCAAAAACTCGACGTTCTTCTGCGACCAATCGTTGCCCACATACAATCTAGCCAAAAAATGTCCCGAAAACTCAATTTTCTCCGCGAGAGCTCGATGACTTCAGCCAATTCGGCCTCCCAGTTCCTTGTCGACATTCGGGTAAAAACTATTTGACCCTATCCTGCATTGTTGTCTCACATTTCATGTCCATTCCACCGAACTTAGCCCGCGATGTGTTACGCAAACGGCTCGAAGAAAGGTACGACAAAACGACGGGGCCCCTGAAAATCCAGCACCTATTGCAGCTCTGCGTATTCTGCCAACGAAGCGGACAAACTGATGAGAGACACCAAAAATTCGGCACTCCCTACCGTACATAAATAAAGTGTTTGAGGCAACAGAACGCATTGCGGTAGAGTTAGGCGTGGGCATCCCCCATCATCCGGCGGGTAACATGCGTAGCGGAATCATGAAGATGAAGGATCGGATGGATGCAGGTGAGCAATCGGGCGTAGTCTATCAAATCTCGTGCCATACTTGACCTTGCCATTCGTGCCTCGTCTCACGAATACTCGAGCACAAACAGACCTTTCGGAAAGGCGACCCACTATCACAAATCGCCACTCACACGCTAGATGAGGGCCATGAGTCCGCCTTCGCCAACACGCGGATATTGGCGCGGGCCGGCAACAATAAGACAGGGCGGGAACTGTTGGAGGCGTGGGTGTCGGACACCGACTCCATTAGTAGACACATTGATTTGCCTGCGTGTTATCACGCACTGCGCCCACGCAGCCAGGTGGCGCAGCTCACATCTCCGCGAAGGACAAACGCCGTCACCACGCCGGGAGAACATTGTGTGCCGGCAACACAAACCAGACCTAGCCACGGAAGTAATCCCCCCCCCCTCACGGCACAACAATATAAATGTCCACACGGTGTTGCACTCTAGCAGTCTCTGATGACAAACTCCTGTCTAAGTTCGAAAGCTAGGACGAATAAATCTACCGTCCCAGTAATCGTACCTTCGTCTTTTTTTAAAGACATATATATATATTTTGGATATTTTAAATGCCGTAAAAATGTTTAACATTAATTTCGCTTAGTGCTGTGTAGCTAGTAGATAAAACTTACCGAGAGCGTTTCACAGCCGAAACTGTGACATTGACCTTGGATAAGGTCGCAAAGGGCCTGGAGGGAAAATAAGAAAAAAAGAGATTGCCAGTGGGAATTTATTTAACTGTCGTCAGTCTGGTTGGGCTCGAGAGAGAGCCCGTAAGGCACAACGGAACGAGTGAGCTCCGTAAGAACGATCGGTGAGCGCTCCCTACCATTGTATATTCCCGATCGAAATCCACAGGGCAACGGGCTCGTGGCCCAGTGGTTAGAGGCATGGACTTCTAATTAACAGGTCGCTTGTTCGAGCCTCGGGTGTTCCACACTTCGAGGTTAGGTATGACTGGCTGACAACGTCTACTAAGCCAGAAATGCCCATTCCAGTCTCCCTTGTCTTTGTCGATAATACCATTCTGCCTATGTCGTTAGCCTACGTTTAGGAAAGCCACGGCGTCATCCATCTGGCAAGTTTAATCAGTATACGTCGACGGGTTTTTTATGTGGGCCATTTAGCAATTGCGCTATTCTGTAATGCGGCGAAGTAAAAAAAGAGCAACCTCGACACACATAAATACATGCAAACAGCAGTGGAATTATCCTCAATTGGCCATTAAAAACTGACCGTCTGCATAGTAAGAAAACGCAAAATGTCGATTGGAAGTTTCTTTACGTCAAAGTATGTGAGTAAAATTTACAGGGCCTTGCATGACTTACGTGCTTCCCTGGCAACAGTTTGATCTTGTAAAAAAGCGCTGTTTTCGTCGGGCTTATAGCCGGTATCACTTGCAGAACATGCCTCAGAACCTGAGAAGATCATAAGAAGGAGTCCAACGATTAGGAGAGCACGCGTGATCATGGCGGCGTCTTACTGGCAAGCGTAATGCGTTCAGATTTACGACCAGACTGTTTTATAGACTCGAATGTGGTTCATGTGCCCGACGTGTAACTTGGCTGGTGAATATCTGGTCGCGCGCGCTAGATGGCGTGCCCGCAATGAGACGCATGGTCTGCAACTTTGTAATAGTGCATTCGGTAACCTAAAAGACTCTAAACGTCGTTAGTTTCACATGTGCCAGAAAACGTGATGCAAAACCACAGTTTCTTGCCCGCACACACTCACACACACACACACGACAGTTCGACCGTCGATTTCGACGATGTCCACCGTGTGCCCCACAGACTGCATTGTGGGAGCAGGGACGGTGACTTGCGCAGGGGTTTATAGTGCCGGTAGACTTGCGCTGAATCTACCTACACTCTCTCCTCCTCCCCCGCCTGAGCCCGGTGTCAAGACCAAGTCAAGAAGACCGGAGACGGGGGAGGCCGCAGGTGGATGGCTCAGACAGATCCTCGCCTTGGCGTTCCACTCCGCACCCCCTGACCCACACACAAATGACCAGGATTTTGACCACAAAACAATGAGGTGGCGGCAGAGGTCCAGTTGTACGACGATTGTCGACAACAGGGTCTGCCAGCGCACCCCGCAAGTGTTGGCATTTGTTATTGCGCACAGATAACGCCTGCCAGAGTACGATGTCGCCCCCGTGTTGGTCCAGCGCATCTAACACGTGGCCCGTTTAGAGGGCACACACACACACACACACACCTGAAAGTTCGACCATCGCGTCGGTCGATGTCCATCGTATGTCCCACAGCAGATAGTGGAAGCAAGGACTGTGACTTGTGCTGGGTTTATAGTGTCTGTAGACTTGCACTGCATTTACTATGCCCTCTCCTCCTCCCCACGTGAGCCCGATGTCAAGACAAAGTCAAGAAGATCGGAGATGAAGGAGGCCGCAGGTGGATGGCTCGGACGGATCCGCGCCTTGACGCTCCACTCCGCACCCCATGGTGTACACAAAAATGACCAGGATTTTTGACCGACAAAACAATGCGAGAGGGGTGGCAGTGGTCCCAGTTTGTGCAATGACTGTCGACAACAGGGTCTGCCAAGCGCACCCCCCAAATGTTGGCATTGTTGTTGCGCAAGATAACACCTGCCAGAATCCCACGTGGCCCCCGCGTTTATCCAGATAGACAGACGAACAGATAGACAGACAGACACACACATACACACCGAAGTGCAGTCCGTTTTAAAATGTCATGGGTGCACATGAACTGTGGGTCAGATGTGGTTATGTAGCCGCACCTGAGGTAAAGAAACCCCAGCCATGTGTAATAAGGGGCTGTTGGTTATAGGGGGTTTTACAGGTGGGCCGGGGAACGCACAGGCGACGAGGTCAGTTAGTTGTATGCAAAAGAAAAGCTATAGCAAATGTGCGGTTGTATTTTGTGTAGTCGAGAAATAGTTGCCCTAACCCCCAACCTCTACCCCAATAGTACTGTGTCCGTCGTGTGGCCACATAACCACAGCTTAACGAACTGTGCAATTAAACTTTCAAGAGGAAGTTGACGCTATCGCTGAAACACGGACTTTATTCCCCTTATGTATCGAATTCACGCTGTTGACGATCAACAGGCGGTATCAAGAACGTGTGCATTATGCACAGAGGATAAAAAAATTTAAAGGGTGCAGTCATTACGCTACCGAGTACATAGCAAAATTAACAGCTCCCCCCTTTGTCGAGGATGCATTTCAAGGTGCGATAATGGCTTACTGGCTGGCATTCGAGTCGCTAATCGCTGCGATGTTATCACCTGTGTTGGCTGCTGGTGTAATAATGTCTCGGTCACCCAATTCACCGTCAGTAACGTTTGAAAATATTGCTCATATGAGAGCTGCTTGAATGAGGTATTCTCTTGTCGAGGCAAAGTTGCAGCACAAAATATGGAGGCGGAAGAACCAAGATTCAAGCTGCTCGCGTCTCACACGGTTCTCACATCTTGCGAGGATTTTGTCCTCATTAAACTTGGAGGCATGGCTGGATCCTGTCGAAGGGGTCGCGATCCGAGAATAACCACCATTTCTCCCCCTCCTCCTCCTCCTCCTCCTCCTCCTCCTCCTCCTCCTCCTTCTCCTTCTTCTTCTTCTTCTTCTTCTTCTTCTTCTTCTTCTTTTTCTTCTTCTCCACCCACTACTGCTGCATCTTCGGCCATTCGTGTCCAGAGTAATCTTCCAGTTTCTTTGGTCTAGTTGCCGTGTTTGCAACTGCACCAGATCCATTAAGCGACTCCAGGCGTTTCCTGTCTTAGTGGTGGGTCTTTCCGGTCATATAATTCACGACGGGGGAGTAAGTGAACGACCGGCTACTCTTTCTTAATATCCTCGTATGCTGCAAAGATTGTGATGGCCAAAAATCTGCTAAAAGCTGCTAATACAACGTAAGTACTGAGTTTCAACAGTAGTCACCTAACTAGCCACAGACACAGATGTGGGTCGGAACGCATTGCAATGAGCCGGAAGACAAGGTTGCTGCATTACAATGCCTTAGAGGGGTGGTTACAGTGAATGTTCTCCCGCTCAACATTTAAGAACTCGGTTACGGACCAAAAAACATTAATAGCACCAAATACGATCCGCAGCTATGAACGTGAGTGCTGCTAATTATTGTAGGCATGTGGTTTCGGGCGACTGCAATGTATAAATACTGCGCATCTTACGTCCCTGCGACTGCCTCTGATATAGGGGCCCACAGTGTCAGAGAAAGTTCTGCGGCTGGTGTGTGCTCGCAAGTGGTCGCCAAACAGAGACGAAATGCTGCACCAGACACTGCCCATGCGATCAATACGAAGACCTTTTGGTTCTGAGCCATGGCATGTTGTTTGATAGTCTGCTGAAAATCGAGACATTTGAGCGAAACGTCTGCAGGTGACTCAAATGTACCTCACGGCAATCCAAAGGGAGCACCAGATGAATGCCCCCGCCCCCTCCCTCCCCAGACCGACGACAGCCCATTCCGACAGCCGAAATAGACTCGAAATGTCACACCGAGACCAGCATTTCAGTGGTCTAAAAATCCACCCGCCTCATTATTTCGCAGTATTGTCGAAATTTAATCGGCTGGCTTGGAAGTTCTGTATTTTTTTACATTCCCGATCCAACAACACGGGGTTTTCCGAAACGAAGTTGTTTTGAAAAAAAAACAGAGAGCAGTACCGAACTGTTTTTAGAACCCAAAAGTCGTAACGGAGGCATTGGGTAGGGGTTATAAACTCACTCTTGTCTTAGAAGACTAGGTAGCGAGCACACGTAGCCTTCGATAAATTTTCGCCGTCCAGTACAATCATATCGGAACGGGGTAGAAGTAAAGCATGTTAGGGATAGAAGGAATCGACTAAAGTTCGCTCTAAAACACAGGCCGTGTGTGGGAATATGGGGGAGGGATTATAGCAGTCACTGTCAGGGGCGGGGTGAGAGCGGAAGGGCGCGGAGAGTTGCAGCGTTAGTCGACCTTCGACCACTGTAGGCGCGGGGCCTGAACCACATTGCCGATTTTCTTTGTAATAAGCCTGTCAGGCTACCCGTTTTCGCAAAGGAAGTCCTGGATTTTTCTGAGTTCTTCCTCGATGCTATCTCTTGAGTAATTTTTTTTGGCTCTTTGCGCCAAACACTGGATTAGATTTCATTTTTGTTGTAGAGATATGAAACTAGCGAAGTTTGCGTATTGTCCAGACCAGGTTTTCTTCCGGTAGACGCCTTTTCGGATACTTCCGTCTGGTCTCCTGTTTAGAAGAACATCTAAAAAAGGGAACGAACCGGCCGTTTCGATCTTAAACGTGAGTTTGATCGACGGAATTTGCCTGATTTACAGCATTTAAGAGGGTAGCTACGTCGGTTTCTGCTGCGACAATTGCAAAGGTATCATCAATATAGCGGCCGTAGCGTTTAAGTTTTTCGATCTGATCGCTTAATTGAAATCTCTCCAGATTGCGATGAAGACATCGGCTAGGAGAGGTCCGAGAGTCGAGCCCACAGCAATGCCGTCTATTTTTCTATAGAATTGGTTGCCAAACAGAAACTGCACATTTAATGTGCATTTTCGTAATGGTTCCTTGAGTGTCTTCGTCGGAATTTTTATTTCCTGCTGATTGTTTGATAGAAACTCACATATGTATTCAACTGTCTCAGTAACCGGAACGTTTGTAAAAAGCGATGAGACGTCCAGCAAGAAAATTATCATGTCGTTGAGGTTGAGTTCTTTGATGTCGTCAATGAATTCGAGACATCTCGATAACTGCGTGGTGCTAGCTGATGCAGTATGGGCCTAAGTTTCTCTGCTAGCCACTTTGCTATCGTATGATACGGAAAGTTTGGCATGTCTTAAATCGGGCGGATTGGGAGACCTTCCTTATGGATCTTAGGTAGACCATATAGTCGAGGGATATGCGTGCCGACTGGTCGGACGTGTTTGAGGTCAGGGTCACTTATGTGACTCCCTGTGTGGAGACGGCTCCACACCGCTCTCACCCCGCCCCTGACATTGACTTCTATAACCCCTCCCCCCTCCCCCCACATTCCCACACCCGGCCTGTGTTTTAAGGCGAACTTTAATCGATTCCTCCTAACATTGACATTTTTTACTTCTACCCCGTTCCTTTATGATTGTACTGGCCCGACGAGAAATTATCGAAAGCTACAGTAGGTGGGCTAACTCATGGAATGTCAGCCGAAATTTCGAAATGCGTTCCCGTTTCGAAAAGATTAATTAAGTGGAGTTGTAAAACTAATCATTTTGCAGTACAAGTATATAATATACCAGTTATTACAGGGTGCCGGCTTTTGAATGAACTTCTTTTCGACTACATGCAACAACTATGTTCTGCAAAAAATGACTACTTAAGTAGCATGTAATTTTCTCATTGATTTTGGATGCCCTAAACAATTAAATTATATTTAATGGAAAACATGCATGAAACTATCCATTCTTTTGCTCATTCATTACGAAATGGCGTCTTTTTCAACTTTATACTCCAAGGAAGGGTGTAGTTCGGTTTGAAAAAAGTTTCTAATTGTGAGATTTTTTAATACCGTGAACTGGCCCTTCCTAAAACGTCATGTTTCTGCATTTACCAGCGTGGCTTGCAAAATTAACAATGTGGCTCTAATGCACTGCTTAATTTTATGGACCCCATATGGACTCCTCTTAATACCGTAGAGAAATGTATGGTTTTCCATACGCGGAAATAATACGGCTTGCAGTTTGGGAATCCTGAATACAAGTGTAACGGCAGGTCGGGCTCAAAATTATTCGGGAATCGGATAAGTTTTATAAAAACGAATTATACCCTTCCTTCGAGTGCAAAATTGAAAGAAGACGCAAGTTTCTGCTGAATTAGCAAAAGAATGAATACTTTTATGCATGTTTGCCATGAAACATAATTGAATCTTCAAAGGAATCGCAAATCAATGTAAAAAGGCATGCTACTTAAGCGGTCATTTTTTGCGGAGTATGGTTTTAGATGCAGCCAGAAAGAAATTTTTTCGAAAGCCGGCGTCCTGGGCTAACTGAATTATTAAATAATTACGCTGCACTATGATCAGTTTCATAACTCAGCTTAATTAATCTGGAGGATGATCGGTTTTAAAACTCCACTTAATTAATCTTTTCGAAACAAAAAGGCATTTTCAGAATTTCTGTTGAGATTTCATGAGTTAGCCCACTTACTGTACGTATGCTCGCCACCACGTCTTCTGATTACTGCTATGGGAATTTTCGCAAATATTGTATTACTTTGGCAGCGTAAACAGCTTCACGGCGAGGTAGTTCTACCGCGATGTGATGATTCCTTACCCAAGGGTGGTTTTATTTAGTTTGAACTTCGGACTTTTGACACCAGGAGTTCGACCCCTGCATTCTTTTGCTTACTCTTATTGAAAATTTGCACGAATTTAGCGTTAGACCTACAACCGCCTTTTCTATTTCCTACTCGCACCACGAAAATATAATTTCACCTCTCATCCGATCACTTGGGAAAGTGATCTTTAACCCGAAATCTTTAGATAAAACAACATGCCGAGCGGTCCGTGACCGACAGGAGGATTGAGCTCTCTAAAAAGTCCAATCGCAAATTGCTTGATGTTCTCAGTTTGCCACGTGTTTTGTGGTCTTCAAGAAAATTGGGCTAGACGTAAGTTCGTAAGATGGCAATGACTCTTGTCTGTGGGGCAGGCCACGGCATGTTAGAAGACCCACGTGTTCTCGCCCCACATGGTGTGTAGTGTATTCAGTGTATCTTTTTAAGTTAATAGGCGATGCCCTTGATGACCTTTTTGAAAACGGTACATACAATATAAATGGTAAATGCACATCTTACTAAGATTTTGCCAGTAACATATTTTTTTGCGGCAAACGATTTCACAGTGCGGGATTGCGTAGGGGGCGGCAGACGGTCTTTTCAATGTACATATGAAATTGTAAGTGCAATTATATACAATCAACATAAAGTGCAGCCATTTGCGTACTTTGAGAGGGAAAAATTCATTGAACGTCAGGGATGTGTTGCATAGGGTTGAAATCAAGAAATGAAATTGATGGCTGGTCGCAGATTGTCCTACAGTGAGAGTCGTCACTTATCAAAGACCAAACGATCCAAATGCCTTTTGAATACAGCCACTGTATCAGACGTCACCATTTCAATTGGGAGTGAGTTCCACAATCGAACAACACGCATGTTTTAGAAGGCAGACATGATAAATTTGATGGCAGATCGGGGTGTTAAATGACTGAGTCCTAGCTCCAAAAGTAAGTAGTGTTCGCTAGGCTGAATAAAAGAACACAGATGAAACACCAGCCTAAAGACTCTAATAACCTTGAGCCAGTTAGCAAGTTTTGTTTTAATGAAATAATGACCGTTTTCCTTAAAGGGTAATACGCTCAACGCTTAGCCGTTTTCTTCAAGCAAAGTGCATTGTACTGACTAAGAATTTCACTTGAAACATCGACCTACTCAGGTTTCAGGTATCCAGTTTCCAGCTGAGAAAAAAATACGCAGAAGCCTTTTTAATGACCTCCACTTCCAGTGTCTACTCAAAAATTGGGTACTTTCTTATTCTGCGACTGATGTCATTCCGTACAGTTCCATGTTAATGTCAATGGACAACTTTTGACAGTTCAATTCGTTATGACCCGGCCTGATACTTGAAAGCACGTGGGAGCGTATGCGCTCAAGATTCTTGTCCACAATACCAACGCGGCAGCGAAGAAGGATACGACCAGCCACGAAAACGTACATTAGGAAACTTCAAGTCAAGACTACTCTGGTTCGCCTGTATCCGGTCAAATGCACTTCGGGGAGAACATTCTAGACGACCAGGTCGATAATTCGAATGCACGGATCGATCAAGCTTGAGGGGAGCAGCCAATGGAGAGGCGTAACGAGTACACTGACAGCACGCTTGAGAAAACGCACGTGGCCTCCGTGATTGGCTGACTTTTGTTTTCTGGAGCGTAGGCACTCCCAACACCTCCCCTGCAAGTAAGTCAGTACCGCTTTTGGCGTGGATTGACCTGCATCGGCAGTGTTGATCGGCGCACGCGGTTGGTCCGGCGTCTTAGTCGTGGTTTGTTGTCTGGAGACACGGCAGCAGCAACTGATACCGAATGCGGTACATCCGAAGTGGACGCAGCAGTGGGTTCGGGAACCGACCGATCGGCCGGAATAGCGAAAGTATCCAGCAGGATGTCAAGAGGGAGTGATGGCTGACGTTTCGGGGGGCTTGGCAGACTCTCCATTATCAAAGCGCGTCTTGTGCACGAAATTGACCGGACTTTAGATTTAATTGGCCGAATTAGTTGGCCTTGACAGATTGATTTTGTCCTTCGTTAGCTGCCTTGACCTGCTGTCGTTGTCTGTGAATGTAGCAGGCTCGGTAGATTGCGTTTGAAGTAGTTTATGGTGAGTAGACTTGCAAAGCACCTATTGCACTCTCTCCTCCTCTCCTCAACTGGTGTCAAGACGGAGTCAGTAGTACCAGAGGCGGAGGAGAAGGCGGCTGGCACGGCCAAGCTCGCAACTTGACGCTCCACTCCACACCTCCGCCAGTCACACCAAAAACTTGACCAAGATTTTAGCCGACAACAGCAACATCATCACAGCAGGTCAGTAGGGCGAGAATGACTGGGGAGCCATGCTCATGACCTGGATAACAACAGGAGCGCAAACACAACTTCTGGCTAACAACCAGGTGTCAGGAGACTGTCAGCTCATACCAGGCTATGGGGACCCTGGTTTGCTGATCCTGGCATAACAGACGCTTACAGACATTTAGGCCTGATGTCATGCTGGCCATAATACTGGGCGTTCTTAGGCAGTTTTTGCTCCTTGAGCAGATCCTGTCATCTCGAAAGAGTATGCTACTGATCACTGTTTGGCAGAAAACCGGATGGCCGATGTACCGCCGTTCAAAATTCAAACAAACAGCTAGGAGCCAACTTTGTTAATGGTTTTGACATCCCGTAGGATGTAAAATAAGCCAGCCGACGAAGACTAGCATAGACGTCGATGATGCTGTGAATGCATTTGGAAGCGAACATGGGCACACATCGGTGTATGTCCTTGTCGGTCGACTATCAGTACATTGGTCAAATGCGATTTCATTCGCACAACAATCCGTGTGTTCACACATAATAGACTCCGCGAGGGCCCTTTACTTTTCTCCTATCTATGCAGACTCTCACCACGTGGTCTAGCGTTTTGTTAATTCCTGGCGAAATAGTGAACAGCCAGCGTCAGTATTGCCCTACCTGCAATGTCATTCTGATTTTTATAGAAACCTCTTGTTGTAAACTCATAGTATTGTTTCTTGTTTGTCGGCTTTTGGGAAGAACCTTACTGTGCTGTGTTTTGGAAATTATAGTTTAAAATTTTTAATTCCACACAGTTTAACTGACTGACAGTACATGCACAATATGCTGCATTTTCGAGCGTATTAAAGTTCTATTCCCCGGTCTGTACAAATGAAATAACGATACGTGGTAATTCGGATTCGGTTCGTAGTCCAACCACCAGTCTTTTCTTTGGTCCATTTTTCATTATTGATTTACTCCTTTCGAAACTGGGCAACGGTATAGAGAAGGACAGCACTTCAGTCAGTATCAGTCAGGATATTTGAAGTAAACGACAGAGGCCGTGTAAACTCAATCTAGACGGTGCAGATCTAAGGGGAAATAGCTATATTGCAAAAACGTTACTTGCAGTTTTAGTAATGAAAACTCATTAATCTAATAATGGAACATAAATGCGAAAGGGCTATGCTATTCGCGAAATAATTGCGAAAAACTTTGTTCACCGCATTCAGACTGTGAGGATTCCCATATGGGTCAAGTTTGACCTACAAAAAGTACCTATTGAAATCACCTTAGTAGTATATGTATAGTTATTACATTAGTACGTTGGATATGTCAGTGGACTGTTGATCGTGCCATACGCGATTTATGGTAAAGGGAGATTTATGGGTGGGGCAGCATGCTAGATAATCATCTGACAAAATGAAAGAAAACACAGAAATTGCCTGGATTTATGCCGAAAGTTTTATCTTACGTCATTGTACGACAACGGAAATGAAAGTAGCAATAAACCATAAAAAAGGTAGTTTCACCAAATAACAGATTTTGAGTTAAGGTGTGAGGTCATGGGAAGTAATCGTTGTTAGCAATGTAATCTCTGCAACAGCCTGCAAATGTATGCCAAGATAAAACACCATGTGGCATGCTCCACAGTCTACTTACAGTTATGTGGGGTCCTTCACTATACCGTTGCCGCAAACTGTGTAGACAATTTGAAGTTATGAGGTGGAATAGAATAATGCGTTATCCGTGATACACATAGAAGTTTCTGAAAAATAGCTACTGACAGTTGGATAAGACGGGTGCGGGTTCGGCTACATTGGTAAAATGGGGACCTAATTGTAACCATGACACGGTTCTAGTTTAAGCCCCACCTCATGTTCAAGGAGTTCGTATCCCATGTTCATTTGCATATCGTCAGCCTCCCTGTTTTGCTCTCTGTGGCTTGAACTCATCGGTCAATTCGGGGTTATTAACGGAGCACCAGATTGCGAAACTGCTCGCGCGGTCCTCTAGATATACTCTATCTTCGGCACTTGATGCGTCCGTTCAGCTGTTTACCATGCAGGATGAAGCCAGAATCTTGACATGAGACATCGTTTGACGTAAACTACTTAGGCTGTTAGGGATACTTCATGTTTAGTAGTCTACATGATAGTACCTTCATAATATTCGAGATAGACAGACTGTGCTTACTGACAAAGACACGGGATACTAGAGTGACATTTTTCTGGCTAATTAGCCGCCATCAGCCAGTCATACCCAAACACGAGGTGTGGAAAACCACAATCGGTGAGCGTATCTCCACCATTTTATATTCCCGATCGAAGCCGATACCGTAGCTCAGTGGTAAGAGGCGTTGGACTTCTAGCTATCAGATCGAGAGTTCCAGCACCAGAAGTTCCATACCTCGGGGTTGCGTATGACAGGCTGACGCCGGCTAATAAGCCAGAAATTGCCATTCCGGTGTCCCTTTTCTCTGTCGGTAATACCATTCTGCCTATTTCATGCGCCAATGTGCGGCTGCTGGTTTGACTCGAGAGAGAGAGAGTGAAAGAGAGAGAGCCCGGAAGACACTACGGAACGGGTGACTTTGGT